AGGGTTCTCTCTGTAAAATTTTATAACTCTGTTTTATTATAAATATAAGGTTAAGGCACCCGAGAGGGCAAGCCATTATTCCCAAAATTATATACTCGTATACTTTCCACTTTTTTGAAAAAATACCCCTTAAATATTAGTCCATGTATCACAATCATACTTTTTATTTTACTTTTCAATTTATTACTTACCGTGTGTTACGTTTTCTTTTCTAGTTTTTTATACTTCATCTTATTTTGCAAATTCAGCTAATGAATTTAATTTTGACAAATCTTTTTCATTCATAATGAAATGATAAATAATTATATTTATATTGTAATGCCAATGTTAATAACAGTCTATTTTCCTAGAGTGCTTGTTTGCAATGTGTTGAAAAATGAAATTAAATTACATTGTTAAAGTTCATTACATTGTTTATTATAATTACATTAATTGAATTACAATTGTAGATCTTCATATTGACAAGTGACAGCATGATCTACGTAGTACATTGTAAAATTATTTTAACAAAATTTGAAATTATCTCTAGTATCGTGATAATTGTTTTATAACACTTGAAATTTTATTCTACAGTGAATTACTATGACATTGTCAAATTATGTAATATAATTGTGACATTGTATCTTTTTTGTTGTTGATAATATTATGATATTGTGACATTGTTAAGAATTAACATTATGTTTATTGATGATATTGTTATGTGGCATTGTGATATTAACACTATCTCATTGTCAAGAAATGATAGTGTGTTCTTTGATGACATTGACATCATTGTAACCATCATATTATAAAATGTTATGGCAATGTCATTGACATCATATCGTTATTGACATTGTGATCGGAATTGTCTATAGACAATGATGTTATCATGAAGTTTTTGAAAATGTCACTGTCAAAAGTTAAATATCAATGATAATGACATAGCAATGTCAATTGCGTAACAATGTCAATGACATTATTACAATGTCAATGACATTATTACAATGTCAATTGTCATTGAGATTTGAGACATACTACAATGACTACGATTTTACACTACAAGAAAAATGATATACAGAGGCAGGACAAAGTTGCCTCTATATATGGGAAAGTGGCCTCTAATTGCTTTTAGAGACAATTTATTGGTTGCCTCTAAGGTGTCTCTAATTAATCCATTGCTAAATGATCGTTGCCTCTAAAACTATATTTAGAGGCAACCAAAGATGTGGCTTTAAATAGTACTCCCTCCATCCCTCAATACTTTTCCATGTTTGACTGACACGGAAAATAATAAAGTAAAAACTGTGTAGTTGAGTTTTGTGCAGAGGAGAGAGAAATTACAAGAACCACAAATTCATTGATTAAAATGGAAAGTGACAACCAAAAAAGGTAAGATGACAAAGTTATAAGGGACGGATGGAGTATGTATTAGAGGCAACCATTTTACCCTATCCCAAAATATTACTTGAGACAACCACATTACCTTCTCCCAAAACATCATTTGAGGCAACTATTATTTTGACTCAAAATGCCATTTGATGCAACCATATTATTTTATCTCAAAACATCATTTGAGACAACCAAATTATGTTGTCTTAAAATATATTGACTCAAAATGTCATTTGAGGCAATGCCACATATGATATTACGTAGATTTAGATGCAATTGATGTCTTTTTATATATTCTTTAATTTACAAATACAATCTACGATGCTCAAGCAATATGGGAAGCAATTTAACTGTTGCCTCGATTAATTTTAAACATGTTAAGTTAAGCATATCTTAACCTATCTTATAAAGGACACCTATTCTTATTAAATGCTAGAACTTTGTTTTCTGTACGTGTACATTGCGCTACTATTGTTGTACGCTGATTACTGTGCAGATGAAGTCGTTTACCGATCGTTACTTGATTAGCGGCGTGTAAGGAATAATTATAATTAGATTTTGATGATGCTATATTAATTAGGATTTTAGAGTACCCCTTTTTAGTAATTTGTATTAGAAATTTTCCTTGTAAAGTTTCTTAGTATAGTCGACTGACAGAAGACCTCCTGACAGAAGACCATCTGATAGACTTAGTCTGAACAGAAGACCTTTGGTTATCTGTTGGTTCATATCCAGACAGAAGACCCCCTGACTCTCTGTTAGACTTCACTTCGACAGAATCTGTCAAGACCCTCTGTTGGGTCACTCCTTGACAGAAGACCTAAGGATCCTCTGGTAGCTTATTCCAACAAAAGTGCTCAAGACCCTCTCTGGTAAACCCTCTGCTGAAGACACCTGAAGGCATGACACTTAGAGAAATCTCATGAAACTACTTCAGCCGGTGAAACCAACTGAAAATTCCTTCAACAGCTAGAAGACTTGAACGGAAAAGCTACAGTACGCGCATTAAATGCACATATAATGCACCCCGTACCCTGAAGAGTAAAAGCCGATGATTGTCCGACATTTGAGGATAACTTTATCCCAAAATAGCAACTCGCCAACTTTCTTGGGTCCTACTGGTCAAGTCAACTGTTCGCGCATTTAATGCAGTTGTCCTCCTCCTCCAACGGGAAGACAACCTCAGTATAAGAGATACTACTCGAAGAACAACCACATAACTTTTGGAAAACTTTGCTAGACTTTTTGCTCAACACTTGCTCGAACAAGATATTCAAACATTCAAACGCACAAGTCTTCTTGAGATTAAAAATCTTCATCACCATCAACAAGAAAGGCAGACGTTGGGAAGATAATATTTCTCTATCTTCACATCCCAACAAGAGCAAAGTTTCAACTGTTCTTCAACACTTCAAGCACTTCAACAACATATCTTTTGTAACGAAGCTAGTTGGAAAACCCCTGTTCTCACAAGAACTCTTCTCTAACGAGAAGGACATCCAAGTAACTGGAGTAATGAAGTGGTGATACTTCAAGGAAGCTCAGTGAAAGGACCAGTCTTGAAGGAAGTCAGGAAGTGCATCCCAGAAGACATCTACACTTGAAGAAGATGTGGAGAGCTTCGTAAGTACTAGGGCTAAGGCTTTGTAATTACAGTTTTTACAAGCTTAGTGGAACAGTGGATTAGAGGAACGAGTTGTTCCTTGAACCACTATAAAAATCTGTGGTGTCATTTACTTACTGCTTTTATTTCTTGCATTTACCGTTAACTGATTAACTCCAGAATTTGGGATTCTGTGTTCAGCAGAACCCCTCCTGTGAGTTAACAGAAGGCCTACTGCCTTTGCATCCCTTAGAGGCTAACCGGACAGAACCCCTACTAGAAGACCATCCGCTGCCAGTCTGTTCTATCAACAGAACAGACTATTCTGTTAAATCTGGTACTTAGCTTGAAAAAGTTAAAAACCAGTACAGTCTATTCACCCACCCCCCTCTAGACTGTACCCAGTACATCCAGGACCAACACGGCGTCTAAATATACCGGTTGATACATAACCAACTCCTTTGGCCTGCTTCTTTTTTAGAATCCGTTTGTGAAGCTAAACCGCCATACTTTACAACCTGTGTTCCAGAAGTTGGAGCATCCAAAATAAATTCCTATATTCGATGAAATTTCAGTTTCGTATGATTTTCGTCTCTTCCTCCTGTGCTTCTATAAATGGGGGTTTCATTAGGTTTGTTGCCTTTTTCACACGGCTTGATCAACACTTTGGTGAGTTTCCATTTCTCCCTCCAATAGTTGATGATTAATGATCATTACCATTGATATATGAGTATTGCCATTGCATCTCTTTGCCTACGTTTAATTTGTTGCAGTTTATACTCTTATTGTTGGGCTTGTTTTCAACTTTTCTGTTTTATTTTCTAATTCTGAATGCGCACAACACATACCTCATGACTTCACATTAAAATCATTTTTAACGCATGCTAGGTGTTTGAGACTGTCACTATTTTTTCTACCAAAAAATTAGTACTATTTTTGCACCTCACAGAAGAAATGACTCTTGACTATGCACAATTGATGTTTCTCTACTATATCTTCACAAAAAAATGGTGAGGTAATGCAGGAAAAAGTAGTGGGAAAATTTGACGTGCACTTGTCGTGAGGTGCACTCAAAATAATTAATCAATACAACGAATATACGTAGTATAACGAAGTAAGGTTCGTATCCACAGGGAAAGGAATACTTTACTTTTATAAGTAGTAACAAGGGGGGTTTAGATTTGTTTGCTTTAAAAACACTAAGATAAACAACCTATATGAGTTTAATTTAATGAGATGAGGACTTGGTTTTGCTTTTATCCACTTAATGAAATGTTCGTCGATCCCGGTTATATCTTTAACTATCTTCCTCTCGAATACTCAATCGAGGAGTATATCCAGTTCATCGAGGGTAGTTATTAATAACGAGATGCGTTCATTAATAAAACTTACTATCGAGTCAATATAGAACAAGCGCCGTATATTAACTTGATAGTAGCAATAAACTTAAGATGAAAACGATTGAGATTGATAACCTCAACACAAGCGTTTTATTGGTTTAATCAATATAATTAATTCCCCTTGGCATATTAACCATGAGATGCATGCATTAATATTCCAAGTTTACTACCGTTGAAAGATTCGGATTAACAACGAGCGTATTAACCGATTGATTCTAGTAATAATTAATATGAGAAACAATACTAGTTGATACTTTAAGTAATGTTTAAGATATTAACATGAAATATGAATATGAATTAATTAATATTCAAGGAAGAGTATTAAAGAATATGAATCCTACTATGATTAATATCAAGATGTTGACTAATTGTCATCTTAGTAACACTCCCCAAAATTAACATAGAGGAAGAAATAGCTATTACTATAACCAATGTCAAGATGTTAACTAATTGTCATCTTAGTAACACTCCCCAACTTTGATATAGAAATAGTATTTTAAAGGAAGAATTAATATTCAAGGAAGAAGATTAAAGAAAATAACTCAACAACTTACAAACTCATTAAGCTTCAAAGTAGCAAAACCAAGATGGAAGAGTTTAGCTCCTCATTTGGAGACTAAACATGATGAAAAATATAAAGAAAGAACTATTCTATACTGAGCTTAGATGTACAAAGGAATTGGATATCTTTTTGTGAAGGAAAGGAGGTGTATTTATAGGCTTTTGGGATGGGATTCGGGTACTCGATCGGGTATATACATGGTACCCGATCGAGTATGTGTGTAATACTCGATCCGAGGTATACTCGATCGGTTTCAGGCTAGAAAGTGGTATTCGGACCATACTCGACCGATCTTCGTTTAAAACTCAAAGGCATACCCGATCGGGTATGTCGGTCTACCCGATCGGGTATAGACATTAAATCGTGGTCAAAATCCTCCCGGCATGTTCCCTTGTCTTCGGATCTGATCCGATTTGAAGTTTCAACCTAATACCCGATCGCGTATAGTTAATACTCGACCGAGTATAGACCAAAATTCAGGATCCTTCTTTTGTCTTCAAATTATGCACCTTCTTTCCACTTTTTTGGGTTCACCAACTGTACTTTGAGTGATCAGGACCTGTTTGAGCTCAGAATATATCTAATCTAAACTATTTACAAGAATTTAACAAACTAATCTATTACGCCAAAAGTGTGTAATTTACATAGTAAAGATCAAGCAAAACTAATTAAAAACACAAACATGCGTATGGAAATTACAAATGTATCAGCTAACAATGGAGTTGTTTACTTTGGTTCACCTTTCTTCAAACTATGGGTAGCCAAATATTAGAGGTATTAGGAAAGCTGCAAACTGTTCATCATCCTTGGGAAAAATCAGCCACGCATAATCACCTCAGACATTATTATCCCAGCCTCAAAGTTATCCCTAAAGCCTCACTTTTAGAAACATTATCATAAGTTAGTTTGAGGCACATAGTAGAGCCTGGTGTGCACCACCAAAACTAATTAGACAGAAGTCTTTTTTTAGGACAACAAAGAAGACAAGTTTTCCTGGGAGCTGACCTTCTTTTGTTGAAACCTTCCACCGTATTAGGCTGCCCCATCAGGTGGCAAAAGCCAGTCGATGTGTTTCCGAGTCATAAGTTATTATCCAACTTCTTAAGCTTCCACCCTAATAGATGATTCAAAAAGAAAATAAATTCCAATCATAGTGATAAAGGATCTGGTGCGTGTATAATACTCATGGGAGGCAATTAACATTTAAATTTTTCTATTCAGATGAATTAGAAATTGCCTAATTTAACAATTTTGACATTACCCATTGAAGGTTTTAAAAACTGAAAGCTATTGAAAGCTTTAGTTACTGTGCAACATTAGCTATTGAAAGATAGGGGTAATTTGCAAGTTAAAGCGGTTATTATTATTTGAAGAAGAACAGAAAACACTATCTTAAGAAAATGTGAAAATGATTTTAGTTTTAAAAAATCTCCACTTAAGACTGAAATGGTTACATTTTGATTTAGATCCCGGTATGCATTGTCTTAAAGTTCCTTTTAACCTTTTCACATCAACTTATCATTTTGTCTTTTGTCTTGATGAATGCAGCAATTTTGCTTAGTATGGGAGGGAAGCAACTTCTTTCTTTCAAATCGGCTTTAGAAACGTATTTCTTGAGGTAAATATTTACATTCCTATTCGCTTGTCTTCATTTGGTCTGGACAATATTACATGCATGAATATATGTTTATAGAGTACCTGAACTTTTTCTCCATAGTTGTCTGTGTATCTATCTATACTCACTTAAAAACTAAACCTTGTGTTATCATTTTTTCAAAGGTTATTTTAATTTTCAATAGATAGTTTCTTAACAAAAACATCTAAACTATCCACTTCATTGGTGTAAAGTACATATCAGGTTTATTTGTTTTTATAGCAGAAGGTACTAATAAGAATAGATAAAAATAAAAAAAAATTATTAGAAAAACTTCTGACTATATTTAAAGAGGAAAAAACACATTCCAATGGTTATTAAACATGTCATACTCAAAAATAGTTTGACTATTCAGAATCAATCACACTCAGACATCTATTAAGAACATAACAAGCTCATTTACGAAGGTAATACATTATCTTTAGCCTGGACAATATTACATGCATGAATCTATGTTTGTATACTTTAATTTTTGCTCCATAGTTGTCTATGTATGTATCTATACTCACTTAAAAAGTAAACCTTGTTTTATCATAGATAAGTATCTATACTTCAACTTTTGCTCCATAGTTGTCTGTGTATCTATCTGTGTTTTCCCTGCGTTTTTCACTGCTGGTTTAATATTATTTAAGCTTTTCCTTTTGAAAAGCTCTCCGCCAGTTGCTACTTAAAGGAAACTAAAAACAGGCTGCATGTTTGATACTCTGTCGAGATTAAACTAAAATGGATAGCTAAGTTGGTTATGCCAATTATTTGTTTTTCCACAACTCTCCAATGATTGTGGAAAATTGATGTATGTTTTTGTTTGGGGGTTGGAATTCAACACTTTGTTTTGGGTACGAACCTGAAAGTTGTTTTGTGATCATCCACTTGAAGGCAAACTCAATTTAATTTTACGTTTCTCTGGATATTAACCTTTCTCCAAGACAAATATATAATGTGATTTCAACTTACATTTCTCTCCTTATCATGATAGCTGATCATCAATCTATTAGGTATGTTATATTATGCTTTCGTGTAGTACTATTCCAGCATTCTTCCTTCTGTCATGTTGTTTGCTTGAAGAGTTCACGATTAAACTTTTTATATTCATCCTTAGATGTGATTCCCTAATTGTAATTAGAAGTGCTGCAATGTTTCTACTCTACGTTGGTAAGCTTGGAATTTGTCTTCGTCAGTTTCTTAATTTATAGAATCAAAACAAGCTCCCACCTTGTGTGTGTACTGTGGATATTTTTAGCTGGGAGTTTTATATTAGATGAGACTTCGATTGTGCTTAAATGGTCTCCACAAGTTTATATGAAAGATAAAGTTCATATAAAAGGAAACTAAAAGCACCTTAAGTGTTTGATAATATGTCTAGGTTCTTTCATTTCACTTGCCTCAAGTGCAGTTTCTTAAGCTAACACATACCAATTTCACTTCTCTTAAAGTTGATTTCACATAGGCTTAAAATGGTATGTGTTGTGTTCAATGACATCTTTTCAGGCTCTAGGTATATTCATACAACAAGCATTTGCTTCCCTTTTTAGGTTCTAAGTGGTGGGGGATATGACATTCATGTAATTTCCATGCTTACGTTTATGTTTTTTATTAGTTTAGATTGATTATTACCTTAAAAATTATACACTTTTGGTGTAATAGTTTTATTTGTAAAAATGTTTGTAATTTGTTTAGATTAGGTTTATACTGAGCTCAAACAGGTTGGTGTGTAGCATATAATGGGCACACAACTATTTTTTTACCCAAGGAAGTAGGGTGTCGAACCACAGAGAAGCGGGAAATAAAATAATTAAGCACAAACTAAGGATTGAAGTTGGGAATGCGTTTCTTTTGATTTTTGTTTGCTTGGAAAAGTAATTAAATAAAAGTGATTGAGAGAAGAGATTTTTATCAACACAAAGTTCAACCAATAGCAAGTAGGGGTAGAAATTGGCAACTAATTGTTCAATGCTCATTTGTAAGACATAATTGCTAATTTTATTCTTAGATAGATTGTGAGAAGTTGTAGATAAATATTTTAGGACCCAACACAAGTCACCTAAAATAAGTAACTAGTCAACATTTCCCAGTGATGGCCAAAACGAGACTAGTTGTTTAAGTGCAACGACAACCTTAATTATTAACTATATTATTTACCCAACCCCGTGGTGTAAATAATATAATTAAATAATTAAATTCTCCCGTAAAACTTCAATCCGGGACAAGGTAAAAGAAGTTTAACGGTGTGTTCAGAAAGTGTTCATTTGTGTATTTAACAAACAATATGTTTATGATTGAGTACTCATAATATATATCATAAACACAACATAATTAATTTTCTGGACACAACAATCTAAATAGAACAAACTTAACAATTAAAATCAATACAAATTAAAACATGATAAGAACAATTAATTAACCAATTTCTAGCCCCAAATTTATTTAGCTATACCTGTTGGGAAACATAGAAATAGATGAATCCATGATTAAAATACAAGATTTAATGAGATAAGGAAGATCAAACTTGTGATAGATGACAATCCTTGGAGCTTTGATGCTAATCTTGACTTAATCTTGGATGAGAAAGTGATTAGTTATGGTTGAAGATGAGTTGATGATTTGGGGTTGAGAAATGAAGAGAGAAGGAGGAGGAAATGTTTCTGGGATGTTTAGAGAGAGGTTGGTCCGAGCTTATGTGTGGAGGAAGATGGATTAAGGCAATATAATGATAAGGTGATTAATCATTAATTGCTGGGATTTACGAAACAGATGAGTTTATGTACAACAAAGCGCAGTAAAGGTTCAATAGTGGCAGGTAGCTCAACGGATAAGCACTTCAGGGGAAAACTCGGGGATCATGGGATCGATTCTCAACTTCAACATTTTGTTCTTTTCTTTGCCGCGTTCAGAAGGAATATAACAATTGCCAGCTGATTATGTACAACATTGATCACTTAGCACATTGGTTGTAGTAGACATTCTTCTACTTTTTCTCCAGTGATCGAATCCTAGCTCCACCATTTTTATTTTTGCTTCTTTTCTTCAATTTACTCCTTATTTGTTTTGAAGGAAATTCCACTTTTATTGACCTGCAACTTGAACTTTTATTTTCTTCTTTTGTTCACTCTAATGTATCCAAATAGCATCAAAAGTACCTGAAAATACAAAATACCCGTGTAGGACTGCACAAGTACAAACTAACGACAAATTATAAAAATATGTACAAAAGTAGAATTTTAATAACTAAAATTAACAACAAACTAAGCCTAAAAAGTGTGTAAAATACAAGTACATCAAATCCCCCACACTTAGGCTTTTGCTTGTCCTCAAGTAAAACTAACAACAAACACAAAAATATACACAATTTTGTAAAATTTACAAACATAACTAAACAAATCACTCATCCATCTCTAATGTCCACTAAACGGTCCAATACCCTGAAATGTCACAAAATAACGCAATGAGAGTAAACTGAGTATTTGTGCCTATCACTAAGATTTTCAAATCGAACTTTTAACACAAACACCTATAGATCTAAATTAGTTGGGGTATGCAGAACAAGTTTCTCCAATCCGCTAAATTCAAAAAATGACACAAATAGATCAATTAGGACTTTTTTCGGTGAGTGGCGAGATTAATGAGTGTGGCTAGTTGGAAGGAAAGTTTGGTGTAAGAATATACAGAGAAAGTTAGATTGTACTAATACTGAGCGGATCATCACAAGAATTTACAACAACTTGGAGCATACAAAACAATGAGAAATATAAACATGAAAAGTAAAAAAAAAAGGGGTTTTACAAAAGAAATTACAACAAGAATTTAATGTGCCTCTTTGTTTTTTTTTGTTTTTTTTTTGTCTTTTTTTTTCAATTTTCCATCTTTTTTTTTTTCTTTTTTTTTTTTTTGATTTTTTTTTTCAAAGAGGTCACACACTGAACATTACAATGAAAAACTAACCCCAAAATTTACAAACAAATATGTACTTCACTCATATGACACTTAATAGTAGCTCCATTTATTTACTCTCAAGTAACAAGACAATCTACTCTAGGATTAGAAAAGATTAACTTTGGATAGGGCTTCAGAAGGTTATGTATTTACAAGGTTACAAATAAAAAAGAATTAGTGACAAGTGAAGTAAGATATTTTACACTTGTACACTGAAAAGGCTCGAACGGGATTACTATGGAAAGTGTTATTTATTTACAAAGGGATAGTGTTTGGCTTCATGGGTAAACAAAGATGGCCTAAATCATTTCTAAATGTGTCAAGTTCAAATAAAATTTCAAGGAGAATAAATGTATGAACATCTTAATCTGCATAAACTTTCACTAATTCAACTATTAACCAATAAATTGGAAAAATAAAATCTAAGGTGTTTAATGTTAAAGTGTTAAAAAGAATCAAGTTCAAAGCTAATACTAAGTTACTCTCAAAAAATTATAGTGACACTTCTCAAACTCAAACCACATTTCGTCAAAAGAGGTGAATGAATAGTTTTAAAAAGTTATGGAAGTAACTAGTAACAAAAAGTGTAAAGTAATGTGTTGTTTGTCTATTGTTGTATTTTGGACAAGACTGGTCTTTACTTTTCCAAACAAACACACAAAATAAAAAAAAGAAAATAAAATCACACAAACAAGCAAGGAAAAAGAAAAAATATTCACACAAGAAATTAGGGTCGAACTACCCACTCTCCCACACTTAAAATTTGCACTGTCCTCAGTGGAAAATAAATTAAAGGAGTGTAAAGAAAACTTCCCTGAATTGCGGACGGATGATGTTGAGATGTCTTTTCGAGCGGATGTGGCCCCTTTAGAGTCCAAAAACAAAAACCTAGACATTTTTTTTTTTTTTTTTTTTGCTTTTTTTTTTTTAAAAAAAATTTACAAACTTGGGTTGCCTCCCAAGAAGCGCTCGTTTAAGGTCATTAGCTTGACCCATGCCTCTTCATTCATATTTCGGATCAGTGAGGCAATACACAGAAGTTGCCTCTTGTCTCTCACCATCATGGTATAGTTTCAACCGTTGTCCATTTACCATGAGTTTTTGGCCGCTTTTGTTTAACAACTGGACTGCTCCGGATGGAAATGCTTCAAGTACTTCAAATGGACCCAACCATCGGGTCTTTAGCTTTCCGGGAAAGAATTTGTAACGTGAGTTAAATAGAAGAACTTTATCTCCCCGTTCAAATTTTCTTCGGCTGATCACCCGGTCATGCAAAACTTTTGTTCTCTCCTTGTAGAGTTTTGAGCTATCATAAGCTGCAAGTCTGAATTCTTCAAGTTCATTTAGCTGCAACAGTCGTTTCTCACCCGCCAATGCAAGATCCATGTTGAGTGTCTTGATTGCCCAATATGCTTTGTGTTCAACCTCAACAGGAAGGTGACATGCTTTCCCATACACCAATTTGAATGGTGAGGTGCCGATGGGATTTTTGTAAGCAGTGCGATATGCCCATAGTGCATCATCAAGCTTTTCGGCCCAATCCTTTCGGGAAGGATTAACAACTTTCTCGAGAATTGTTTTGATTTCTCGGTTTGAAAGTTCCACTTGGCCATTTGTTTGCGGGTGGTATGGAGTTGAGAGTCGGTGGTGAATCCCATATTTGGAAAGGACACGTTCCAATGCTTTGTTACAAAAATGAGTACCATTGTCGGTGATGAAAGATCGTGGAACTCCGAATCGGGAGAAAATATTTTTCTGAATGAATTGGATCACCACTTTGGCATCATTTGTCTGTGTGGCAGCTGCTTCTACCCATTTAGAAACATAATCAACAGCTACAAGGATGAACTCTTTCCCATTTGATTTTGGAAATGGCCCCATAAAATCGAGCCCCCACACGTCAAACAATTCGACTTCAAGTATGCCATGTTGAGGCATTTCATTCTTTCTTCCAATATTGCCGGTACGTTGGCAACGATCACAATTTTTCACAAATTTGCTTGCATCTTTGAAAATAGTGGGCCAAAAGAAACCTGATTGTAAAATCTTTGCAGCAGTACGAGAGCTTCCATGATGTCCCCCATATGCTGAGGAATGACAATGGTGCAAGACATTTGAAACTTCATCTTCGGGCAAACACCGTCGAATGACTCCATCGGCACACCTTCTATAGAGAAAAGGTTCTGCCCAATGATAGTAGCGGGAGTCATATTTTAACTTCTTCTTTTCAGTATGTGTAGCACCATGTGGAATTACCCCATGAGAAAGGTAATTTGCAATATCGGCAAACCATGGATCGAAATTTTGAGCAGCCATAAGTTGTTCCCCAATGAAATAATCATTGATTGGCCTCTTGGTATCACAAGGAATCTCAAGTCGAGATAAATGATCGGCAACAACATTTTCAGATCCTTTTCTATCACGGATTTCCATGTCAAACTCTTGTAGTAACAAGATCCACCGCAACAACCTCGGTTTTGCATCTTTTTTGTTGATGAGGTATTTGATAGCCGCATGGTCAGTATAGACAATAATCTTGCTACCGATAAGGTAAGATCGGAATTTTTCAATGGCAAAAATTATGGCAAGGAACTCTTTTTCAGTTGTGGCATAATTTGATTGGGCATCATCAAGAGTATGACTTGCATAATAAATGGCATATACTTCTTTGCCTTTGCGTTGACCCAGAATGGCTCCCACGGCATAATCGCTTGCATCACACATGAGTTCAAAAGGAAGACTCCAATCAGGTGGCCGAATAATTGGTGCAGTAGTTAAGGCCAACTTGAGTTTTGAAAATGCGGCGCAGCAAGATTCATCAAAATTAAACTCCACATCTTTTGAGAGAAGATTGGTTAAAGGCTTTGATATTTTTGAAAAATCCTTGATAAACCGTCGATAAAATCCCGCATGGCCAAGAAAACTACGAATCCCCTTGATGGAAGAAGGGGGTGGCAATTTCTCAATTACTTCTATCTTTGCCGGGTCTACTTCAATGCCCTTTTCAGAAATTTTGTGCCCAAGCACAATGCCTTCGGTTGCCATGAAATGACATTTTTCCCAGTTGAGGACAAGATTTGCTTCTTCACATTTGCTTAGCACTTTATCAAGATGTTCAAGACAATCATCAAATGAAATCCCATAAACCAAGAAATCATCCATAAAAACTTCCATAATTTCCTCGACAAGATCCGAGAAAATAGCTAGCATACATCGTTGAAAGGTTCTTGGTGCATTACATAATCCAAACGGCATTCTGCGATATGCAAAAGTACCATAAGGACATGTAAATGTCGTCATTTCTTGATCATCCGGATGAATTGGGATTTGGAAAAATCCAGAGAATCCGTCAAGAAAACAGAAATATTTGTGCTTAGCCATCCTCTCCAGCAATTGATCAATAAAGGGAAGTGGAAAATGATCTTTCCGAGTAGCCTTGTTTAGCTTGCGGTAATCAATGCACATGCGCCATCCAGTGACTATTCGTGTAGGAATCAACTCGTTTTTGTCATTCTTTACAACAGTAATTCCTCCTTTCTTTGGCACCACATGGATAGGACTTACCCATTTACTGTCCGAAATGGGGAAAATGATACCCGAACTCAATAGTTTAAGAATTTCTTTTTTAACAACATCTTTCATGTTCGGGTTGAGGCGTCTTTGGTGCTCAATGCTCGGCTTGTGATCATCCTCCAAGTAAATGCGGTGCATGCAATAAGATGCCTTTATGCCAACAATATCATCAATGGTGTAGCCAATAACTCTGCGATGGCTTCGTAAGACTTGCAATATTCTTTCCACTTGTTGAAGATCTAAATCAGCATTCACAATGACAGGATAAGTGGAATTCGGGCCAAGAAAAGCATATTTTAAAGTAGATGGAAGTGGTTTGAGTTCTACTTCAGGTGCTTTTCCTTTGACATTCAAGGATTGATCTTCAAGATTAAGCACTTCAAATTTAAGTGCTTTAGGCATCGGTAAAGATATGCTTTGCAACATTTCGAGACATAAATTCACCATTTCATTGGCTTGCTCATCTGCAATAGATTCTCGTATAGTGTACTCCATGGGATCTTTAGAAAGCCAATAAGACTTATCAAATGTCTTTATGATACAAGAGTCTATAACATCAGCATAGTAACCATCAAGGACACAAGGTGTATCCTTACTCAGCTCTTGTACATTGAATTCGATCTTATCATCCCCAATCTCAAGGATAAGGGTACCCTTTTTTACATTGATAATTGCTCCTGCCGTAGCTAGAAAGGGTCTCCCGAGAATAACAGGAACTCGAGCATCTTCCTCCATATCCAAGACAACAAAGTCTCCCGGGATATAATACTTGTCAATTTTGACAGGAACATCTTCAAGAATGCCGATAGGATATTTGACAGATCGATCAGCCAATTGTAACGCCATTGTTGTTGGTTTGGGATCCCCCAAGTGTAGCTTTTGACATAGTGAATAGGGAATTAAGCTAACACTTGCACCAAGATCACAAAGAGCTTTGTTAACTTTAGATCCACCAATGATACATGGAATTGAGAAGCTTCCAGGATCACGTAACTTGGGTGTAATTTTGTTTTGGATTATGGCACTACATTCTTGGCTCATTGCAATAGTGGCTGGATTCTCCTTCTTCTTTGTGAGAATATCTTTGAGAAATTTAGCATATGAAGGAATTTCTGTAATGGCATCAAGCAAAGGAATTGAGATATCCAACTGTTTGATAACATTCAAAAATTTAGTTCTCCGCTCCTCCATATTAGCTTTCTTCAATCTGTTCGGATAAGGAACTGGGGGAATATATTTCCTTACCGAACTGCTTTTTTCTTTCTTCGACCCTTCACGATCATCAGATGGTTTCGGCATGGTACCGACATCAAGTTCATTGTTGTTGTTTCCACCTTTCTGTTGTTGCTCGGCCCTTTCCTCCAACACTTCATGTTCTTGTTCATCACTAGAAAGGGGCAAGGATTGATGTTGTTTCCCACTCCGAGTAGTGACGACATTGATTTGCTCCCTAGGGTTTTCAGGACAAGCAGGAAGCTTACCTGTCACCTTAGTTGATGATGTGGATGCTTGATTAGCAATTTGATTCTCAAGCATCTTGTTGTGAGCTCGAAGTTGACCAAGATCTTCGGTGATTTGTTTCAGGGTTTCAGCTTGAGATAATTGGGACTTGAGAAGTTGGTCAACAATGTTTTCTAGAACAGGAGTTTGGGTTGTTTCAGGAGTGGGGAGAAGTGGTTTTTGCTGTTGAGTTGAAGGGTATAGAAGATTTTGAGTGGGTTTATAGTGTTGCTGGTTCACAATACCTTGGCCACCTCTGAATTGCTGATGTTGGTTTTGGAAACCGGGTGGTGCACTCCGATAAGATGGTTGTGGATTAGCAGCTCCATTTTGATTGCTCCAGGAAAAACCGGGATGGTTTCTTCCTTGAGGATTGAAATTACCAAATTGATTTTGTTGAGGCTGCCTGTTGTAGTTGACATAGTCAACTTGTTCCATTGCTTCCCATGGACAAGTAGACTGATTGTGTTGTCCACCGCAAGATTCACACATAAGAACGGGAATGGGAGCTGGAGTTGATGTTGAGTTTTGCACAAGAGAGACTTGTGCCATCTTTTGGATAAGATTCATCATGCTATCGACCTTTGTGGTTATGGTCGACATTTGATCAACTTCATACATGCCTCCGATTTTTGGTGGAGCAGATGATCGCTCAGAATACCATGTTGATCCATTTGATGAAATACGCTCCATCAATTCTTCTGCCTCTTCAAGTTCTAGGCACATGAATGATCCATTTGCTGACGCGTCCACGAGTATCCGAGAATTTTCATGTAGGCCTTCATAGAAAGCCGTCATCAAGTGCCAGTTTTGGATGTTATGATGTGGACACTGTCGCTGAAGATCTTTGAATCTTTCCCAAGCCTCGTAGAGGGGCTCATTGGGATTTTGCTTGAAATTTTGAATCATTCTTCGGATTTTCGCCGTTTTAGATGGCGGGAAAAATCTTTTGAGAAATTCACCATGAAGTTGATCCCAAGTGGAGAAGTGATTATCCGGAAAAGAGTCAAGCCAACTCTGAGCTCGATCCCGTAGAGAGAATGGGAACAGGCGTAGTCTGACAGCATCAGTTGGCACACCATTGATTTTGAAGGTGTTGCAAGCTCGAAGGAACTTTGTGATGTGATTATTTGGATCCTCCGTTGGCGCTCCGCCAAATTGAGTATTTGAAACCATATGAATGATAGCAGGCTTGATTTCAAAGTGATTCATGTTAACCTCTGGTGGAATAACACTGTCATGCTCATCCACGGGAGGCGTAACATAATCATACAGCGGTTTTCTGGTCCTCATAACCTGATCCACGATTTGTTGATCGGGTACCTGCTCATTAACAACAATATCGTTTGACATTTTTTTTATTTTTTCCTGTTCACGTATGTGCTTTTCAATGTCAGAGAAGAATAACAATTCACAATTCGCACCACGTGAACGTGTGAGCATAAGCAGAAGGGAATTGGGATTGGGGAAAGAGAGAGAGAGAGATGAAAAGAAAAAATAAATGCGGAATTAATTAATTAATTAAGGTTCGCACGTAGTCAATTGGTATAAACCGAATGAGACTAGTGAGCCCTTAAAGCAGTATGAATATATACAGTAATTCACCAGGATGCGGCTGGGCCGACAGATATGGTGATTTGAGGGAAGGAAAAAAAAATAGCTACAGTAATAAATACAGTCTCCACCAAGATGCAGCTATGCCGACAGTCTGGGGATTATTAAGAAAAAAAAATAAAAATAAAAAGTGCACTCCACCAACAAGTGGACACGGCCGACAAGCTTGGGGATGCAAAATTTAAAAAAATGCTGAAATTAAAGTGCGGAAATTAAATTGCGATAATATAAGTGCACAAATTAAATTGCGATAATTAAAGTGCAGAAATTAAAAAGTTGGGGTTTGAACCACCATAAAAAGAAAAATAAACGGTCCGACCATATAGGCGGAGTATCCTTTGAATGATAATGTACAAGTAAGCGGTCCGACCATAGAGGCGGAGTATCCTTTGAATTATAATGTACAAGTAAGCGGTCCGACCATATAGGCGGAGTATCCTTTTAATTAAAATGTAACAATATGTTCAATGGTCTGAATGTCCAGATATGTTCAGTCAACAAGTCCAACTCCAATGCTCAGGTAAGATGATTAATCACAGTCCATTTTTTTTTTTTTGATTTTTTTTTTGATTTTTTTTTTTGATTTTTTTTTTGAACTTTAATTAATCACTTTTTTTTTAACCTGCAAAGGTAAAAAGATAACAACAGAATAATATACACACAATTTACAATAACTAAAATCGAAAGTTTATGCTCTCAATTTTTTTTTTTTCAAAACCGCTTCCCCGGCAACGGCGCCAAGTTGGTGTGTAGCATATAATGGGCACACAACTATTTTTTTACCCAAGGAAGTAGGGTGTCGAACCACAGAGAAGCGGGAAATAAAATAATTAAGCACAAACTAAGGATTGAAGTTGGGAATGCGTTTCTTTTGATTTTTGTTTGCTTGGAAAAGTAATTAAATAAAAGTGATTGAGAGAAGAGATTTTTATCAACACAAAGTTCAACCAATAGCAAGTAGGGGTAGAAATTGGCAACTAATTGTTCAATGCTCATTTGTAAGACATAATTGCTAATTTTATTCTTAGATAGATTGTGAGAAGTTGTAGATAAATATTTTAGGACCCAACACAAGTCACCTAAAATAAGTAACTAGTCAACATTTCCCAGTGATGGCCAAAACGAGACTAGTTGTTTAAGTGCAACGACAACCTTAATTATTAACTATATTATTTACCCAACCCCGTGGTGTAAATAATATAATTAAATAATTAAATTCTCCCGTAAAACTTCAATCCGGGACAAGGTAAAAGAAGTTTAACGGTGTGTTCAGAAAGTGTTCATTTGTGTATTTAACAAACAATATGTTTATGATTGAGTACTCATAATATATATCATAAACACAACATAATTAATTTTCTGGACACAACAATCTAAATAGAACAAACTTAACAATTAAAATCAATACAAATTAAAACATGATAAGAACAATTAATTAACCAATTTCTAGCCCCAAATTTATTTAGCTATACCTGTTGGGAAACATAGAAATAGATGAATCCATGATTAAAATACAAGATTTAATGAGATAAGGAAGATCAAACTTGTGATAGATGACAATCCTTGGAGCTTTGATGCTAATCTTGACTTAATCTTGGATGAGAAAGTGATTAGTTATGGTTGAAGATGAGTTGATGATTTGGGGTTGAGAAATGAAGAGAGAAGGAGGAGGAAATGTTTCTGGGATGTTTAGAGAGAGGTTGGTCCGAGCTTATGTGTGGAGGAAGATGGATTAAGGCAATATAATGATAAGGTGATTAATCATTAATTGCTGGGATTTACGAAACAGATGAGTTTATGTACAACAAAGCGCAGTAAAGGTTCAATAGTGGCAGGTTGCTCAACGGATAAGCACTTCAGGGGAAAACTCGGGGATCATGGGATCGATTCTCAACTTCAACATTTTGTTCTTTTCTTTGCCGCGTTCAGAAGGAATATAACAATTGCCAGCTGATTATGTACAACATTGATCACTTAGCACATTGGTTGTAGTAGACATTCTTCTACTTTTTCTCCAGTGATCGAATCCTAGCTCCACCATTTTTATTTTTGCTTCTTTTCTTCAATTTACTCCTTATTTGTTTTGAAGGAAATTCCACTTTTATTGACCTGCAACTTGAACTTTTATTTTCTTCTTTTGTTCACTCTAATGTATCCAAATAGCATCAAAAGTACCTGAAAATACAAAATACCCGTGTAGGACTGCACAAGTACAAACTAACGACAAATTATAAAAATATGTACAAAAGTAGAATTTTAATAACTAAAATTAACAACAAACTAAGCCTAAAAAGTGTGTAAAATACAAGTACATCACAGGTCCATGATCACTCTAGGGATCATTGGTGAACATCACAAATGGAAAGAAGGTGCAAAAAAAATCTCTAGATGAAGTGAAGATTGATTTTTTGGTGTTGTACCCGGTCGGGTATGACCTATACCCGATCGGGTACCTTGTTGAAAAATCAAATCGGATCGGATCCGGGACAAGCCAACGTGCAGGGGAGATTTTGGCACGATCGACTGTTTATACCCGATCGGGTGGCCGACATACCCGATCGGGTATAACCTAGTTTTTTTTATATTTCCGCGAACCAACCAAGTACCGGATCGAGTGCCCTTACAGCCCGATCGGGTACACGACCCTGCAAGCCTAAAAAGCTTATAAATACCCCCTTTTCCTTCCCACAAAAGGCACTAATTAATATATACTTCTTAGCTCAGTTTAGACAAGCTCTTTCTTTATATTTTCTTCATGTTTAGTCTCCAAATGAGGAGCTAAACTCTTCCATCTTGGTTTTGCTACTTTGAAGCTTAATGAATTTGTAAGTTGTGAGTTATTTTCTTTAATCTTCTTCCTTGAATATTAATTATTTCTTACTCATATTCCATATTAATATTTTGAGCATTACTTAAAGGATCAACTAGTTTTGTTTCATATATTAATTATTACTAGAATTAATCGATTAATACGCTTGTTATTAATTCGGTTCTTTCAACGGTAGTAAAACTTGGATTATTAATGCATGCGTCTCATGGTTAATAACCTAAGGGGAATTAATTATATTGATTAAACCAATAAACCGCTTGTGTTGAGGTTATCAATCTCAATCGTTTTCATCTTAAGTTTATTGCTACTACCGGGCTAATATACGCCGTGTGTTCTATATTAACTCGGTAGTAAGTTTTATTAATGAACGCGTCTCGTTATTAATAACTACTCTCGATGAACTGGATATACTCCTCGATTGAGTATTCGAGAGGAAGATAGTTAAAGATATAACCGGGATCGACGAACATTTCATTAAGTGGATAAAAGCAAAACCAAGTCTTCATCTCAATAAATTAAACTTTATAAGTTGTTTATCTTAGTGTTAATTAAATTCAATCAAATCAAACTTAAAACCCCCCTTGTTACTATTTATATAAGAGAAAAGTATTCCTTTCCTTGTGGATACGAACCTTACTACACTATACTACGTATTAGTGTTGTATTGATTAATTATTTTGAGCGCACCTCACGACAAGTGCACGTCAGGATACAATAGGTAAAATGAATTAGAAGAGTGTATGTCAAAATGTTATATTCAACAAGTAGGAGCTGCTGGACTTAGATGTTAGATCTGTCCATAGATCCGATCCCCTTTCTTTATGCAAAGATTTCTTCCATAGAAGAACAAGTGATTGTGCAAGCGGCAATCAGGGTAAATCCAAGGTTTTTTTTATAACAAACGTTCTGCAATGGCGGCTTCTAGAGTGATGATATCGGCCAGCAACACTATCACAACCTTTATACTTTCCAGAGGTCCTTTAAGAAGGCCTAATAGTTTAAACCTCTCATGAATCTATACTAACTTGCTGCTGGCTTAAAACCTGTTTAAAAGCAGGGAGCTTGCTAATGTTCAAGCCACCGTCTAGCCAACCCTTGTTGAGTATTCTTGTCTAAGATTCATTTATCACTCAATTTTTGAGATCAGCTTTGTGTTTGTATTTGAGACATGAGTTTTCTTTTACTTGCAATAAAATCATTCCATGATGCTAAAACATACTATCTGCGTCCCGCTATGATTGTCCCATTTTACCTTATCGGTCTATCCCATTAAGATTGTCCCATACCAAATTTGGTAAAGTTTGTGTGGCTCTAAATCATTCTTACTTTATTCTTACTTTATCAATTCAATATCAATCACATAAAGCACTTTTTATTAATTTGCGCGTCACTCCCTCTTGTCTCATTGTTAGCGGGATGGAGGGAGTATCATTCATGCTATAAAAAATGATGAAAGTTCAACACATACTAATAATATTCTTGCCTCAAATACTTTATCATTGTTTTATTGTATTTTACCGCAACACGATCATATTCATCTACATATCCTTATTTGTAAAAATTATTATGTTATATACTACATCCGTTCCAAATTTGTTTGCAAAGTTAACATTTTTTGGTCAACCAATGTTTGAGTTAAATCATTCCTATTGATAATTAAAATTTCTATAAAGTTGCAAAATCTAAATTAAAAATTAATTAAGAATTGATATCTTAATTCATCATTTTCATTTACCCCAGTGCCGCAAAGGCTCCCACCTACGGTGGGGTAAGGGGAGGTCGGATGTACGCAGTCTTACCCCTATACTAAAGCACAAAGAGACTGTTTCCGGATGACCAATTGATATCTTAATTAAGTGAATAAAATGAGTCCATTTGATCAAACAGGTCAATTTTTGCAATTCAATTTGGGACAGAGGGAGTATAATATAGTTCCTAAAATAAACATTTTATGTATACTTATTTTGAAAATACTTACACAATTCGTTATAGTTGCGAGTTGGGCATACTACATTCGTGCAACGCGCGAACAATTTACTAGTTGTTAAAATACAGCAGCCATCTAGCAATTAAATTCAATACGGTAAAAGTCATAGTTGGTAATCCTGGTATCAATATTTCCTCCGTTCTTTTTTAAATACAATGGTCCACTTTTTACGTGTACCAACGCACAAGTTTGACCATTCATATATTTCATTCATTATTGGTAAAAAATAATAAAATTTAGATTTTTTGAAATTTTGAATTGAGAAGAATTTAACAATATTTTTTTAAAATTTAATCTATAATACATTAATAAATAAAATAGAGTCAATGTAGAACACGTAAGTAGTAGAAAAAGTACAATGTTGCATTTAAAAAAGAACGTAGGGAGTTGAGGATAGTTTTGTCAACAAAGTACATGAAATCAAGCAAGAGCAGCAGTTTACTTAAATTATATAAAAACAGTGTACTTATAAAGTTATTAGTACCTGGGTAATATACAATTTTTCGGGTACTAGCCATCTATAAAAGGATGAAAAAGAAGTATCACCTTCTCATGACTATAATTTAAATATAGAAGCAACAAATAGCAAATATCAATCTGCACTCACTAATATCAAAATGAATAATTAACACCCCTCAAAATTGCCTTCTCTATATGAGATATAGATATATTCAGTTGGCATAATATAAATTATACTCCCTCCGAGCCTTATTAAACTTTACACTTTCTTTTTTGAGCAGTCCCATGGGGTTATGGGACTAGGCCCAGAGCCTAATCGGTACAGGCTCCGAACTTGGACCAGCAGGCCCAAGCCCAGCAATCCAGAGCTCGAGTCGGCCCAACCGATCAGGCCAATCAAGGAGCGGAAGCCCAAGAGAGCCTGTCGATCGGCCCAGCGGGGAGCCTGCCCTCCAGCTCGACCAGCGGGGAGCCTGCCTTCCAGCCCAGCGAAGAGCCTGCCTACCGGCCCAACCGGAAGCCCAAGAGAGCCTGCCTTCCAGCCCAGTGGGGAGCCTGCTTTCCAGCCTAGCCAGGAGCCTGCCGACCAGCGCAGCTGGGAGCCTGCGGTCCTGCCCAAGTGGGAGCCTGCCTTCCAGCCCGGCCAGCAGCCTGCCTCCAACCCAACTGGGAGCCTGCATTCCAGCCTACCCGGGAGCCTGCCTCCAGCCCGGTCAGAAGCCTTCCTCCAGCCTAGCGGGGAGCCCACCGTCCAGTACAGCAGGAGGGAGCTCAAGCGTCCAGCCTGCCAACCAGGCTGACCTACCAGCCAGGAACTATAACGGCCAAAGTAATTAAGACGTGACTTAATTATGTATTTAATTCCGTATTAATGTTGTAATTAGTTAGTCATTAGTATCTTTGGCAGTTACTATTTGTAATCGCCTATAAAAGGCAAGTTCGAGTCAAATAAAAGAGATGCTATTTCTGGCCACCAAATCCCCTTTGCAACTTTCCTTATTCATATTACTTTCTTGATTCCCGCTTGAGTGTCGTACGTAGCTTTCCTAAAAGCCTACGATCGTCCTATTTTGGACCAACACTATCCAAAATAGAACCCTAAGTTATTTATCTGGCCGGTCGAGACTTTGTGTCAAATACAAGATCTAATCATATACTCCCTTCGTCCCAAATTGTTATGCAAAGTCTATATTTTTTTGTCAACCTATAATAAAAGTCAATTCACCATATCGATAATTAATTTAATTTTTAATAATTAAAATTTACATATTTAGAAACTACATTAAAATATTTTCAAAGTTGTAAACTCCAAATTAGAATATTTTCAAAGTTGTAAACTTCAAATTTGACATCTTAATTAAGCGAATAAAATGAAACTGTTTGATCAAGAAAAATCAAATTTGCAAATATATTTGGGATGGAGGTAGTACATAACTCTATAGTGGCAGGCCCATTCTGCTCCGGATCTAGCTAGTACAATGAGGCCAAGCCTAATGATTGCCCATATATGTATTGCACCGACGCTAGCGAACGAAGTTGAGTGGACCTGATCAGTCTGGGATAGGTCATGATTTCATACTTAGATATATCTTGGGCATTCCAGACATGTACATATTCAGGGCTTACATTACGGTCGCTATCATTGACATTAGAGGTTCGAGTTTTGAAGGGTTGACGTCATGTGATATCACCATGATATGAACATGTGTGTTCCCAACTATTCGAGAAACACATGCAACTCTCATTAACTAACATTTTGTGCTTAAGGTCCAAATCTTGTATTTTTATCTCTTTTCTATTAGGGAAAAAGACTAAAAGTATTATACTAAATGTTATCATTGGTTGACAAGTAAAAAGTAATTAGAAGAATGAACACACACATATACAAGTATATGATATACATATATAATTTATATAAATATCTTTTAATATTTTAAGTGTATTTATATGAGAACACATTCATGTAAGGATACACATAAATACTCTCCATTAAACACTATAAGGATATATTTATAGATATTTTTCATATTTATGTACTTGTTAGGAATGCCATATACATACTTTCAAGTTGTCAAATAATGCTGGGTAGTGTATATACACCATATCATGCTGGTCATATTAACTAATCCGATTGGAATTGAGCGACTCAGCAACTTCATGAAAGTGGCGTCCAATTTTTTGGAGTGAAGACACTAGGGTTAAATTTAGAAACTCATTGGGCCAACATTTTCATTCACTAGGCCAACATTTTCATGCACCGGGCCAGACCAATTATCTTAAGCAGTAGAAATTTTATCAATTTACAACCTAAAAGATAGATAAATTATCATTCTATGGCCTGAAAGATGAAATGTATTAATATAAGACCTGAATGATAGAAAATTATCAATCTAAGACCTGAATGATTGAAAACTATCAATCTAGGACCTAAATTGTCATGAATTCTATTATTATTTTTTATTTTAAAAATTTTAAATATCATTTGGTTTTATTAACCTAACAAACTTTTGTGAAAGAAAATTTTATCAAAAATTAGTAATGGAATTAATAAAAAATAAAATAATAAAAATCAATGAAATGTTGGGTTTTAAATTGATAGTTTTTCATCATTCGAGTCCTAAAACGATACAATTTATCTTTCAGGTCCGGAATTGATAATTTATCTATCTTTCAGATCCTGAATTGATAAAAATTCATTTTTTTCTTTTCAAATACTCCCTCCATCCCAATTTGATAGTTTCATTTCTTTTGGGCACAAGTTTTAATAAAGTGGTTGAAAAGGTAAAAGTTGTGGTTGAGATTTAAGTATAATAAAATGAAATGATATGAACCACATCTTTCTTTCCAAAAAGGAAAACAAGACTATCATTTTGGAACGGGAGAAGTACCTGTTAGTGGAAAAAATAATAGTTGCACAGGACGTAGAGTCCATGTTTTCACGAACAATTCAATTTTTTAGAGGAATTATTTGTGCCACAAATAAAATATGAACGTGAACATAAAAAGGGATGTTTTACCAAAACACGGGAAAACTGGGATATACTTGCCAAAAAACGAGGATTTATGTAGGGTTTACCAAAATATGGGAGTCGGAACTGCAACTTCCGACCAGGGATTAGGGTTTCGGAAAAACAATTTCCTCCCTCCAGTCGGATTAGCCAATTCCGACGGTTTTTTTTTTTTTTTTTTTAATTTTTGGCCGCTTTTCATTTTCAAAGTTTTTTAAAACTAAACTTTTAAATTCTCTCATGTCGTATCTACCACTTCCAACTAGGAAGTTTTTATTATTTTTTAATTTAAATTTTTTAATTTCCAACTAAAGTTTTAAACTAAATTGGCCAATTTCATTCATGTTTAAATTTTTAAATTGGCCGAATTTCTCTTTTTTTAATTAGTTGCCAATTTAATTTTTAAATTGGCCTAAAGTTATAGTTTTTAATTTTATTTTTTTAAATCCATTTGTATTGTGAATAAAATTCATAAAATGAGATACAAATTTGAATTTGTTTTAAATGCGATTTGTAAATTTAATGAAAGTGAACAAAACAAATGTAGGTTTCAATGTAATTTATTAATAAATAGACAGTACATACCATAATATAAATTTAATGATACTACATCTAACGTTGCGTGCTCGGCCCTGCTCCGTCCCCACCGCTAGTGTTTCAAGGCCCCATTGTGTCTCCATAGTAAAACGACGACGAATCCAGAAATGAATCAACATAATCAACCGCTTGTGTGGAGTACTGATAAGAATCATAATACGACGGTGGTTGATCAAATGAGACACCTTGATGCGTTGAGAATTGAGGGGGTGGTTGATCAAATGAGACACCCTCACGTGTTGAAAATTGAGGGGGCGATTGTGAGTGCTCACCCCCACCTTCATGTTCATCTGCATCATCCTCTTCGTCACTTCCACTTTCATCTTCATCTTCATCTTCATAATGGAATATGCCCCGGCGGAGCATCTCTTCATCACCTATGTCCAGGGCCATCCGCTGTAGTCGTTTTTGACAGTCCTCATGACTTGCGCGGTCGGCTAAGAGCTTATTCAGCTCGTAAAAGCTCTGCCTCTGCATAAAAATGTAACACGTGTAAATAATATGACATGATATATGTTAATGAATATAGTATGTATTCAAAAACTTACCACAATACCCCAATCGTGTGATGTCGGGATGTAGCCTGTCGTGGGCACATTGTGAGAAGGGTTCTGGACACGTGTCATACCATGCTTCTGGTACCATTTTCGGTACCTCTTAGTTGCTTCGACGGACATATGTCGATCATAATCAAGAAAGTATATATTATGTTGTATGTCTGCCCACAACGTCAAGGCACCGGTTACTATGTTGGAACGATTGCCGTGATGATCAGTACCCGCCAAAGGAGCATCCGGAGTATCTTGCCTTATATGGAACTGCCGAAGAAATCGATCGGGGTAATGCATTTCGGCCATATTGCAAAATATGAGCATGACCCTAGCCGACCAAAGCGGAGCGTCATTGAGGATGATAGGTGGGAGTTCCTCGGACGCGTAGGGAGTGAAATCAAACTGTAAAAATTTTAATTTGCAATTTAACCACTATAAAACAATGTGTATTAAATATTGAATAGTACGGTGGAAGTAAAAATTTGAAGTACTACCTGACTCTCACTCATTCGGTCTAGGTCATCCCGGTACAGGCGTATGCAGTGTCTTGGGGATCCCTTATATGACTTGGGGACGATCCACCTACACTTATTTATTACCGAAATGAATTTAAAAACTCTAACGTCATATAACGCATTCTCAATTATTAAGATGTAATTGCCAACATACCTGCACCCATATGGAAGATGGTCATGTTGAATGACCTGAACTACTGAGGGACGGACCATCGAAATCCTCGACCAAGCCCAAATCTGTAACAAGTGCATACAACCGCCAACTTGTTTGGTTTCCCACTTGGCGCCGTTGCACAAGTTATGGTAGAGGTACCCGAGAACCGCTGATCCCCAACTCCATCGACGGGCTAAAGTCAAGTCACCCTGCAAGACCTCCAAAAAGTATAATCGTATTCTTGTCCCACTCGTGTCAGGGAACAAAAGGCCTCCAAGCAATTGCCATATTAGGGTTCTGGTGTGTTCGGTGACCTCTTCGTCTGTACTGTCAGGTAGGATCTGGTGACGGGTAAGAGCACTCATGGTGATATCACTCGTGCGCATATCAGTCTCTAGAGGAGTGAAACCACACGACTGCGTGCACAGGTCGATCCACTGAGCCTTACCCTTAACGGTTGGACCACTGAGGGGCATACCCCGAATGGGCAAACCAAGGATCATCGCCACATCTTGTAGACTAATGCCGACCTCACCGAATGGAAGATGGAAAGTATGTGTCTCCGGCCTCCATCTCTCCACCAAAGCGCATATTAAACTATGATCCACCTTCATACGGGCAATGTGCTCTACCCCCAAGAAGCCAGCATATGCTAACATACTTATCACTCTTGGATCTCGCTCTTCAACTCCGAATGCAGCTGAAGGGCAACTGACGTATTTCAAGCACGAGTCTTTGGAATTCGGTTCATACCATATACGGTCCGCACGATAGGCACGCAGTGGCAACGTGAGTAGTGAACGGTTAACAGGCCCTGGGCGCGGAATGTTTTGTTCCATTTGAAATTCCTAAAATAAGTAGTTATAAATTACTAAATTCGAAATTTAACACAAATTCTAAATGTAACACAATTTTTAAATTTGTAGATATTTATAGCTAAATTGAACTCTAAAATTCTAATTTCACAACCTAACACAAAAAAATAAAAAATTACTAAAGTAACAACTTGTAACGTACTAAATTCGAAATTTAAATCAAATTCTAAATGTAACACAATTTCTAAATTTCTAGATTTTTATAGCTAAGTACAACTCTAAACTTCCGATTTCACAATGTAGAGTAAAATTCTAAATTCACAATCTAAATTAAAATCTTAAAAGTTACCAATGTAAATTAAAAAATTTGACTATGTAAAAAAGTTACCAATCTAAATTAAAAAATTCACAATTTAAAAAATTTAAAAGTTACCAATCTAAATTGAAATTCGAAATAACTATAATTGCGAAATTAAAATCTTAAATTCGACTATTTAAATTAAAGAGTAAAATTCGAATTTCACAATGTAAATTAAAAAATTTATAAATTACTAAATTAACTACTTCTACACTCCTAAAACCGAAATTTAAGGGAAATTCTAAATGTTACACACTTTCTAACTTTCAAGTATTTTATAGCTAAATGTTACTCTAAAAATCCAATTTCACAATCTAAATTAAAAAATTTATAAATTACTAAATTAACTACTTCTACACTTCTAAAACCGAAAATTAACTAACCTGGAAATTTGGCTGATCACAAAGGTTTGATTTGCTAGTAGGTGCTCTTGCTTGGGATTCATTAGTGAAGCAGATGATTATCTAGAGTACTCAATACCTCTCATAGCTAAGTACAACTCTAAACTTCCGATTTCACAATGTAGAGTAAAATTCTAAATTCACAATCTAAATTAAAATCTTAAAAGTTACCAAAATAACTAGTAATTTTGAAATTCGAAATAACTATAATTGCGAAATTAAAATCTTAAATTCGACTATTTAAATTTAACGCAATTTCTAAACATCTACAATTTCAACTATTATGAATAATAAAAAGTTAAAATTAAAGAGTAAAATTCGAATTTCACAATGTAAATTAAAAAAATTACAAATTACTAAATTAACTACTTCTACACTCCTAAAACCGAAACTTAAGGGAAATTCTAAATGTTACACACTTTCTAACTTTCAAGTATTTTATAGCTAAATGTTACTCTAAAAGTCCAATTTCACAATCTAAATTAAAAAATTTATAAATTACTAAATTAACTACTTCTACACTTCTAAAACCGAAAATTAACTAACCTGGAAATTTGGCAGATCACAAATTTTGATTTGCTAGTAGGTGCTCTTGCTTGGGATTAAGTGGGGATTCTTGATCCAACTGGCTCGGCTCTATTTATATAAAAAAAATTAGTTGGGAGTTCTTGATCCATTAAATAAAAGTTGGTGTTGTAATGAGTGGTCCACACTTCTTCCACACTTCTTAAATAAATTTCTTGGTCCACACTTCTGCTTTTTCCTTGAACCGTGTGATAGTAGCTAACTTTATCAACTACTTTTATCAGTATCCATAAAACAATTTTTAAAAAAATTTATTGTTGTCGGATCTTCAAAATCCGACTGGAGGTATCCGTTTACCGCCCTCCGATTCCGATCCAAGCCCCTCCTCTTTTGATAACAGCCGTGCGATAGGGATCCGAGCCCTTATTGTGTTTCTTTGGTAGTTTAGAGTTTATTTTTTGTACAAATGTGGAATAAATATGGAATTAACTAATTTTGATCTGATTGAACTTATCTGATTATATTTATCTGATTAAATTTTATCTAATTGAACTTATCTGATTATATTTATCTCATTAAATTTTATCTGATTGAACTCATCTGATTATATTTATATGATTACATTTTATGTAATTAAATTTATCTGATTATATTTATCTGATTAAATTTTATTTGACTGAACTTATCTGATTATAGTTATCTGATTAAACTTTATCTAATTATAGTTGTTGTGCAAACTTAAAAAATTCAATAACTCCAACAAAGAGAACAAATATTTCATTAGTTCAAAAAACCCAACAAGGTATACATTACAATATTACTCATTTCCTCTCCTTGTAGCACGCAAATCCATTTCATTAGGAAATCGAGTTCTCTGTGGCCTACCGGCTCTAGCCGATCTATTGTTTGGGGGCGGGAGAAGTGTATGCGATGTTTCTGCCGTGAAATTGAGGTAATTATTAATAGGCATAATATCGGAAGCGTACGTTCGGATGTAAGCATTTAAGGAATACACAGCTGGGATGAGGCTGTCTACGGTTATTTTTAAAAACCGACAAACCGCATACGCGTGAACACATGACATCTCGTTCTGCTTCCAATACTCACACCCACATTCCTGCCTTGTCAGATCGATTGTCACTGGATCATGCGAACCAATAGCTACAGAGTAAATTCCCGTTGTTCGATTGTGCGGGACAATAGTTGTGTGATACCTACGCTATGACCGCTCAAGAACATCCTTCCATATGTTCTGTGGATACAAGAATCCAGCTTGGTGCCACATTATTCCCGCATTTCGTCGATCGGCAAATAGTTGGACGACTTTATCGAATGTGGCCTTTACTAGTGCTGTGATAGGCAATGTGCGGCATCCCTTTAAGACATTGTTAAAACTTTCAGAAAGGTTTGTCGTCAAAATGCCATATCTTTTGCCATCGTCATAGCTCAGGGCCCACATCTCAACAGGAATCTCATTCAAATATAGAAAAGCACTCTCATTTATGTCTCGTATTTGTTGCATACAGTCGTGAAATTTTTGTTCTGTGGGAGTGCTACCAGCTTGCCAACATAATTTTTTCAGTTCCGCGTTCCTAAACTTGGTCATGAAATTACTCCGTATGTGACGGAGGCAATAACGCTTTGAAACTTGTGGCGATCTCAACTCTCGCAAGGCTCTAAATGCACTTTCAATTCCTGCATGACGATCAGAGATAATGCACACACTACGGTGATTTCCAACCACATCACGCATAACCCTTGCAAAGAACCACGACCAGCTGTCAGCATTCTCACTCTCAACAACAGCATATGCAAGAGGAAATATCTCACGGTTAGCATTCATGGCTACCGCAACTAGAAGAACTCCCTTGTATTTGCCATATAAGTGAGTGCCATCAACCGAGACTACGGGTAAGCAAAATCTAAAAACGTCTATAGAAGCCTTGAATGACCAGAACACTCGGCGGAATTCAGACGTATCAGGAGTGCCGGCCTGTTGTGATTGCAAATGAACAACAGTCCCCGGATTTGAAAACTGTATAGATTCCAACAACATAGGAAGTTCATTATATGATGCCTCCCAATTGCCGAATTTACGCTACAGAGCGATCAAGCGTCCATTCCAAGCTTTTTTATATGAAACATGGATATTAAATTTTTCATATATGTCTGACATTATCAGTTTAATGCTGTAGTCCGGGTCGACTTTCACTTTTGGAGCGATTTCACTGGCTATAATTTTGGCCGTTAGGAGCCTGTCATCCCGAGCCATGACAGGATCCTCCCTACAACTGTGATGGGGTTGATATTTTTTTACTTTCCACTTTTTTGACGTCATACCTTCTCCTGCTTGGATATGCCAAGTGCAAAGGGTCGGGTCTATGCAAACCGCCTTCCAGGACCGTGGCCTTTTGTCAACCGTTCTGAATTGACGAAATTGACGAATGTTTTCTCTCGCCACCGCTTCTTTCAGTGCATCATATGAACAGTAAATTGCGCCTACTTCGATCCTTTCAGGCTCAGAATCTAATGCTTGAACATATGGTTCTTCTAGCTCCACATTAGCCCAGGTGGTGTCTACTACGTCGTCACTATCATCGCTCGTGGATGAATCGACATCACTACTAAAACCTTGTTCATAGTATGGGTCGTCCGATTCTTCACCCAAGTTTGTGACTGTACAAAGTAGATACATTCATAAATTTCAATATTATTATTTGGGACAAATTATTAATTTAACACAATTCTTGAATTTCTAGAATTGAACACAATTCCTTGTAACAGACTATCTAAAATAAAATAAAATTATGGTTTGAATTTTTTGATTTTAATTTATCGGAATATATAAAATTTTTAAGTTTATTTGAAGTATAAAATCTTTTTGTGCTCTGGTCGGATTTGGGTGTTCCGACAGGAGTTTTGAAATTTTATGCGCTATATACAAATTTTAAGTTTATTTGAATAATAAAAACTTTTTGTGCTCTCGTCGGATTTGGGTGTTCCGACAGGAGATAAAATTTTAATTTTTTTTAAAATTCCACTTCCACTTCCGGTTATTTCATTTATTTGAACTAGAATGTGTTTCTTGTGTAATTAGATAGAAGTATTGAATTTGTGCAGATGAGACAGACAAATAGCCAATTTTTACTCTGAAATTCCTATTTAACAATCAAAATTAAAAAATTTACAAATTACTAAATTAACTACTTCTACACTCTTAAAATGACAACAAATAAAACCAAATCATTGTAAATTCTATTTAACTTGAACAACACATACCAGGAGATTCGTAGTTCTGAAACGTTTGGCGGTTGTTCCTCCGACCATATACGGATGATGGGCCTTCCTCTCTGGGGGTTCCGTGGAACGTCAAAGTTTGTGGCGGGGTCGCTGAAGCTTCCACGTAAATGTGCAACTCCTCATACTCATTTTTAGCGATCCGGAAAAAATGACGCAATGTCTGCTCATCGTGAATGGGCCATAGTCTAGAAGCAACATATACAGAATTCTTATATTTTGGCAATTTTCCGTAAATTAATTTAATTTCGGAAAATCCGTCGCCTCTAACATGATTTAGAACATTCTCATGTATAGTAGTATAATCATCTGCTTCACTAATGAATAGTACCGCCCTAGGAGGTATGGAGTACTCTATTTCATCATCTTTTTGAGATGTAGAGCCATTCCAATGAACCATAACAACAATATTTCCCTCACTAGACATTTTTATATGAGAGAAGAATGTCTAAACAGAAAATGTAATAAATATATCAAGAGAGAAAGAAGGATTATTTTTGGAGTGAAAATTTTGAAAAGAAATGAACTCATTTTATAGGAGCTATTGGGGTACGTACG